CTCTCAGCTCTGATGATGGATGAATGAAATAAGCTGTAGGTAATTCTGTGTCCAGATGAGCAGAGCAATATAATTCATCCTTAATTTTTTGGGGGAAAAAAAAGGAAAATATGTTCTTTATATCCAAAGAACATCAGTTAGTTCAAGAAGTTCCCCATGGAACAATGAAATTGTCAAAATAAAGGAAGATGTAGTATTTGTTCTTTCTACCCAATTGTGAAGCCTTACAAAGTCTTTTTCCCTCTCTGGCACAATATCGTATGGAATTGGAATACAAGTTCTTATCTTCTAACTTGTGTGTGATGGAAGAAAGGTACACTAATTTAGCAGACAGTCTTTGTGATTAATCAAGGGCAAATGTAGCCATCACACACCTTTCCAACTGCACCACTTGTCCTTGTTCTAACATGCTTAGCTACCTCAGCGTGCATGTCATTCCCCAAATGCATGTATATTAACTTGCTACTTCTACTGCCTTGACCTTGCAGTTAACCAGCAAGCATGAGACCATCTCAGGTTCGATACATATCAGCACTTGACTCTGACCTCTCTCTGTATCTCTACCCTTAGCAGCTTGGATCACTTTCCTCCACAGTCTTGAGCTGTCGATTCCTTAGACATGGGGAGGCACTCATGCTGCTACAAGCAGAAGGTGAGGAAGGGGCTGTGGTCTCCCGAGGAAGATGAGAAGCTGGTGAAGCACATAACAGAACATGGCCATGGGTGTTGGAGCTCCGTCCCTAAGCAAGCAGGTACTGCAACTTTGCCACCCACGAGCTCAACGCATCACGAACAGTGACCTCGCCATTGTTGTCTCTCTTGCTCATCAGGTCTGCAGAGGTGTGGGAAGAGCTGCAGGTTGAGGTGGATAAACTACCTGCGGCCTGATCTCAAGCGAGGGACGTTCTCGGAGCAGGAGGAGAGCCTCATCATTGAGCTCCATGCAGTGCTGGGAAACAGGTAGAATATAATTCCCTCCCGCCATCCCCCCACCCCCCTCTCGATCGTCTCGATAAGATCTGAAGTGTCACCCGCACTCACTGACCTACTGAGCTAATCGACGACGACATCTCCAGGTGGTCGCAGATCGCAGCTCGGTTGCCGGGTAGGACCGACAACGAGATCAAGAACTCGTGGAACTCCTGCATCAAGAAGAAGCTCCGGCAGCGAGGCATCGACCCCAACAGTCACCAGCCTCTCGGCGACTTCAAGATGCCTACTCCGACCCCGGAGAACGTCAACCGTGCAGTGGCCGAGAATTCAATGGCGTCGACCTGCCTATCCGATCCAATGGCTGTCTTCTCCCTCGCACAGTTGAGCTTTCGCCCTGACGACAGTCCCCATTGCAGCACAGTGATCGATAGTAGTCGGAGCAGCATGAGCAAAGCTAATGGAGTGGAGTTACAGAGCAGCTGCTCCTTCGACGGTGGCATCCTCCCTTGGTCAGAGTTGGCCCCGGACACGGATGCACAGCTCCACCTCGAAGGGGAGTCAGAAGACCTCAAATGGTCGGAATACCTTCAAGGCGTCTTCCCAACACCATCAGCATCCCAAACCCAAACCCAACAGTTTGGTGCTTGGCACCAGAACCAGAACCAGCAACAGTTTCTGCTTTCAGACATCCATGACAAGGATTTCTAGATGATGCAGATGGGTTCTGGCCAACTTTAGATCGTCTAATCCCAACTCAGAAAGAAGAAATTTAGAGACAGTGACTCGTGTGTGTATGTCATCACATATCGAGTAAGATTTCTACTCCTAGTTTACTGTTTCGGTCTGCTTTTCCTATCTCAATGTCAGTCACTCTCAGAGATGCAAAAGGCTTGTATCTCTGCAGACATGATTTGTAGCTGGTGGTTTGAGAGGCCATTGGTGTGGGTGTCTCTTTAATGCATGGGCTCCTCCTGATGCTGATACCTTTTGTTGCAGAGTGCAAAAGTCATGACCTTTCTTTTATTTCCCACTTTTGATAGCTCTTTTGATGTGTGTATTCCCTTGCACATGTTCAAGTTAGAGCAAAAGCAAAAGGAAGAAGAGAATTGAGAGGTAGAGGACAGAGGATTCTATTCTTCCACAAAGGTAAAGCCTCCTAAGGCTCCTTCCAACATTTCCAGCTTTCTTCCTTTCTTCCGAGTCATGTAATTAAACGTTTATGTTCAACATCTGGAGAGAGGCTGCATTGGGGACATCATGAAGAACAGAGAGAGAGAGAGGGAGAGAGGAGACAGATGAGTAACATAGCCCATGACAGGAATAAAACCTGCAGAAATTAAGGATCAAGTAGAGGATTGCTCATGTGTCCTAATGCAAACACAATATAGCATGCAGCTTAGTAGAAGCTCAAAGGCATTGAGAATGGCATGATGAGGTGATGATGACGAGTAAGAGTAGTAGTTAGCATGAGTTCTTGAAATTGTAATCCATACTGGGACACGAACCAGTTATCTTCATATTCTTCTTCTCCCGTAAAGATAAGCGATAGATAAATGTCTTAGTGAGAGTAATCTTAGAATGTAAAGCCCTGTTGAAAAGATGATAACTAACTATGATCCTCTTCCATAAACAGTCAAGAACTGCAACAACATTAGCAGAGTGCCTATCAACTACTTAAGATTGCAATGGCAAGTTAACGAGAGAAAAAGACAAATTTTGAACTTACGCTATGAAATAATTAATATTAGCGATCCGAGAAGAGATAAAAGAAAGACCTCAAACTTAGATATTTTTGACTTTGTTGATTTTGTTAATGTTGCAGTTGGTTTTGCGGTCCAAAAATGGCCAACTTATACATAGATCTAACAGGGATGCTAATTTGAACTTTTTTTTAAAATCTAATTTAATCATTCGTCCGATGTAATGATATATAGTTTTTTCTCCTTTTACAAAGTTAACGACGAGATCATCAAAAATCAAACAATTTAAGGAAAAACCACAACTCAGTACAAGGTTTGTTCCATCTTCACAATATACTCATGGAGACATTTGCTGACTTGTGGCCAGTAAATTGGAATCTACATATGAAACGCTTCATGCAAGGCATTGACATTTACCAACATATGATTTGATTTGTACTCGAGATTCTATGAATGCTTAGACAAAAGGAAGTAAGATGCACAGAACTCAAACTCTACATTTTGGGATGACTTCTGCTTGATATATTTCAATGAAAGAGATGTAAACCTGCTATCTATCTCATCCCCTCATCTAGAAGAATAGACCCAAAGTGCAAGTCCAGAAACATTTCTAATGACGTGCAGGATAGCAAAAACTATGTGCACCATGAATTATGGTAGCAGGAAGAGAACAAATCACCATTGCTAGAGTCTTTGGTAGAAGAACATAAATAGATAATCCCCAAGAGATGAAAATAACAGCATAATGATCAGCAGATGCCAAGATTCATGATAATTATTATTCATATGGGTAATAACATATTCTAGTGACAGGTGCAAACATTAATATTCAGAATAATGATTGTCAGCAATAACACAATAGAAGTCCATCAGAAATCAACTTGAAACAGTAGAAAAGCAGCAGTTGTTTGCTGGGTTAAGGTATGTTTCTGAGAGTATTATATTTAGCTACTGCATATTGACGTTAGCTACTGCCCTACACTCATGTAGCTTGAAATGAAGCCTTAACTGGAGATTGCAAAGGGGATAAGTTTGACCAATTCCAATATGACATTATTTTCAAGCTGGACCCAATCTTATTTGGGTTAGCATCGAATTGATGCCCACCCAAATTCAATTCCAAGCCTAATTCAAATAGAAAAAAGAAGGTAAATTCGATATAAGTTTAGATGTCTGTAAGATATATGTAATGCTTATTTTCCTAGTTCATGCAGATCAGAGTATAATGTCATATTTTCTGAATCCATGACCTCGACCAAAATAATTGGAGAAGAAGGCAGCCAATGGGTTGACTTTGGAGCCCAAAGAATCACTGAAACAGAGAAGAGGAAGCACTAAGCTGCCTGTAAAGGTTGACTATTTTTTGCTGCAGGTGATAATTGACTTCAACATCAAGTAACAACTACTTCAACCAGAGAAGACTAAGCACAGAACTGGCTCTAATGGTTGACTCATTTTGCTACAATCTAACAAATGGCCTTTTGGAGCGGATGCTGCCCCCAGGCACTTAGGCTCTCAAATGACCAAGTCATTGATAGTGGATGAGACTTGATACAGTGCATTTACTGAGAATTAAATTAGATTTATTATCATTAAGTTACACTTAAGCATTTTGGATCATTGGTTTAGACTCAAAAAAATTAATGTCTCATTTATCTTATCAGAGCGGATCAAGACACAAAGCAGCTTAAACTCAAATATAAGAAGACTGTTTTTTTTTTTTTTTGCATTTGACTTCGACACACCAATGAACTAATAAGAAGTCAGAGGTGAGAGGGAGGTGAGCAAGTTGACTATTGTATTAGATGCGACATTTATTATCGTCTTGCTCGGTACTTACTTCACATTGGCAGTAGTCTGGGCTGGACTTTGTCAAACTATGATGGAAGAAGTAGTTCCTTCTTTTTTTTTTTTTCACTTGTGTTCTCACAAACTTCAAGATAATGAATGGAAAAAAATAAAAGAGCAGAACTAAGATTGGAAGATGAATTATGAGATAGATCTCTTTTCCTTTTAATCTCTTACTATATGATTACTTCACAATCAAATTCTTTTAAATGACTTTTTGTTTATATGATTCCTATAAATGTGACATGATTATTCTCTCTAATTTGTAGAATATCCCTCCATAAATCATTGTACTTTCTCTTTTAGAAATATTTGTGTGTAAGAGAAGTATAAGTCTATAAATTGAGCAGCTAAAGGATCAGCTACAAATCAAAGAAATAGAATATATTGATATTTTCTCAGGCTAACAAGACCATGGGCACTAAGATTATACTCCCAAGTATATAGAAAATATATAGAAATTAGATCTTGATGGAAGAATCATGTTACGTATATAGATAATGTTATCACCTCTCATCACATGGGCGTTGACCATTAGAACATGTCAAGTAAAAACAAAATATCTCCAATTTATTCCAAGAGACTCCTTTAGGTTCCTCAGGTACTCTCGTCTTCTTCTCTTGCTATTGTTGTTAGGTCAAGACAAGTTTAGTCCTTTGCTTTCCATTCTCATATTACAAACCTTGCTAATTAAATGCTTCTGTTTAGAGGTAGATGACTGCAGTGATCATGAAATCCATCCATGCACAGAGAAGCCGAAATCATATTACATGCATTAGTTTGCTGTAAATTCTGCTTCTCTAAGATGATAACATAGCATTGTATTTGCTCAAATCTGTAGTGGTATGCATCTACAACGAAGCATGAATTCAACACCTTAACATCGGACATTTAGGTGGAAATTGAAATACACAAGCAGAATCAGCAGGAAGGTCAACTTCTGCAGTTGCTCTTTAGAGAATCCTGCACACATTTGGCTCATCATACCACACAACCACAGAATTGCAAGTGCTGCAACATGCAGGCAAAGGTTTGCTTTCCTCCTGCTTATCCTCCTCCTCCTCCTTGTCGGGTTCACGACCGCCACCGGCCTCTTCGCCTTCCTCAGGGCCTTCACGACGAGCACCACATTGACGTCCCCCACCACCGTCACCGTGCTCTTCTCCACGTCCATGGCTACCGACACAACCCTTGGAAATGTTGGAATTAAACTTGTTCAAGTGTCATAAAAAGGTTCATTGCATCAAGTGGGAGAATCATTACATCAAGAAGAAAAAATGGATTAAAAGTCTATAGAAGAATAAGTCAAATTGGTTATTGGTTCTTGAAAGGGTTTCTTGAAAGAGAATGATTCATCTTGAATACAATTAATATAATGTATCTTTGGGGACTATATAAACCCCATATGTTGGGTCATGAGGAAAATAGAGTTTCTGAAATTGAAAAAATATTTTTCTTGAGAGAAATATAGAAGATTAAAGCTTGTCATACTCTTCCTCTATTTGATATATCTATCCTCTTTTCCTATCAACATCAACATTTGGTATCAGAGCATAGGTTAAGCTATGACTTCTTCCTCAAGTGCCATCCAACTCTAAATCCCCAGATTGACAAAAGAAAATTATGACATATGGTGCATCCAAATGAAGGTTCTTCTAGGCTCCCAAAATGTATGGGAGTTTGTAGAAGATGGATTTCCTGAACCAAGTCCAGTAGAAGAAGGAGCAATGAATACAGAAGGAAGAAAACAACTCAAAGAAAGAAGGAAGAAGGAGAAAAAGGCTTTGTTCACAATCTACCAAGGCCTTGATGATACAATGTTTGAGATCATCGCTCCAGCAAATACTTCAAAGGAGACTTGGGAAATGCTTCAAAGAGCATTCGGTGGTGTTGATAAGGTAAAGAAACTTCGTCTACAAGTTTTACGAGCTGAGTTTGAGAAATTACAACAAGGTACTTCTGAAACCATTTCTGATTACTTCTCAAAAATCATTTCTATTGTTCATCAAATGAGACGAAATGGTGAACAAGTAAATGATCAGAGAGTAATAGAAAAAAATATTGAGATCTCTAGATCCGAAATTTGATTTTATTGCTATTGCGATCGAAGAATCTAAAGATTTGAAAAAAATGTCTTTAGAAGAACTTATGGGTTCCCTT